TATGCTACTAAGCACAAGCGTAGAAGGCCAATGCTTTTTATTAATATTAAGCTCTTTAATGTTATTGCATGGGTAAGGCAGCCTTTTTTCAGTTAAAGTATATGTAAATATGAAAAAATATTGTATATACACTTGTGTGTATATTTATATATATATATATATATATATATATATATATATATGATGCTTTTATTCAGCAAAGGCATATTAGAGTGACAGTAAAGACATTTATAATGTTGCAAAAGATTTCTATATCAAATGAATGCTGTGCTTTTGAACTCTGTCCTGAAAAAAGTGATCCGTTTCTACAAAAATATGAAGCAGCACAACTGTTTTCAACATTGATGATTATAAGAAATGCAGCAAAGCAGCACATTAGAATGATTACTGAAGGATCTTACACTGAGGACTGGAGTAATGATGCTGAAAATTCAGCTTTTCTTCACAGGAATATATTACATTTTAAAATGTTTGAATAGAAAACAATGATTTTAAATTGTAATACTATTTTGTAATATTAGTGTTTTACTGTATTTTTGAACTAATAAATGCAGCCTTAATTAACACTTTTTAAAAAAATCTTACAGACACCAGACCTTTGTACTGTAGTGTACTGTATACTAGTGTATTTATTACAATTAGAAAAAATACACAATGAGTGCCAATGAGCAAGTGAAACCAGGTTTATTTGAAGAAATAACCCAACCCAAACATGGAAATGCAGTTAATTGCTCTTCTGAGACATCTGTTTAAAATGAGTGTCTTTATTAAGCTGTAGCTCTTTATATTTTAGAGAGGTATCTGTTTGAATGTCAACTAATTCACTTGATCTAAATGTCTATTTCTATTTTTGTTAATTTGTAGGGGTGTTGGTCCGGGTTGCAACACGCGTGAAATTGCAGACAAGCTGATAGACCTCAAGTTGGAATTGGAGGATCTTGACAAGAGGATCAAATGAATGCTGTGCTTTTGAACTCTGTCCTGAAAAAAGTGATCCGTTTCTACAAAAATATGAAGCAGCACAACTGTTTTCAACATTGATGATTATAAGAAATGCAGCAAAGCAGCACATTAGAATGATTACTGAAGGATCTTACACTGAGGACTGGAGTAATGATGCTGAAAATTCAGCTTTTCTTCACAGGAATATATTACATTTTAAAATGTTTGAATAGAAAACAATGATTTTAAATTGTAATACTATTTTGTAATATTAGTGTTTTACTGTATTTTTGAACTAATAAATGCAGCCTTAATTAACACTTTTTAAAAAAAATCTTACAGACACCAGACCTTTGTACTGTAGTGTACTGTATACTAGTGTATTTATTACAATTAGAAAAAATACACAATGAGTGCCAATGAGCAAGTGAAACCAGGTTTATTTGAAGAAATAACCCAACCCCAACATGGAAATGCAGTTAATTGCTCTTCTGAGACATCTGTTTAAAATGAGTGTCTTTATTAAGCTGTAGCTCTTTATATTTTAGAGAGGTATCTGTTTGAATGTCAACTAATTCACTTGATCTAAATGTCTATTTCTATTTTTGTTAATTTGTAGGGGTGTTGGTCCGGGTTGCAACACGCGTGAAATTGCAGACAAGCTGATAGACCTCAAGTTGGAATTGGAGGATCTTGACAAGAGGGAACATGAACTGGACCAGCAGAGAGTTTGGGTTCAGCAGAGCATCAAGAACGTGACAGACGACTCGCTAAATAGCCCATATCCTTCTAGCTGCATCTTTAGGATTCATCTTCCGAGTGTTGTGACCACTCTACAGCGCTTAAAGGATAAGTTCACTTCCAGAATAAAAATTTCCTGATAATTTACTCACCCCCCTGTCATCCAAGATGTTCATGTCTGTCTTTCTTCAGTCGCAAAGAAATAAGGTTTTTTGAGGAAAACATTCCGTGAGTTTTGACCTTAGAGTGGACTTCAATGGTGGCCAACGATTTGTCCAAAATGCCGTTTTAATGCATTGAAACGGCATTTTGGACTTTCAAATCGTTGGCCACCTTTGAAGTCAACTAACTATATGGAGAAAAATCCTGGAATGTTTTCCTAAAAAAAAATTACTTTCTTTGCAACTGAAGAAAGAAATACATGAACATCTTTGGATGACATAGGGGTGAGTAAATTATCAGGAAATTTTTATTCTGGACGTGAACTTACCCTTTTTAAAGTATTGGTTGTTTTAGCTCAAGGTGCTCTTATGATGCTTGAAATTGATCCTCAAAGTGAAGTTTGTATTTGAAAGCTTATGTTTGCTGTATGTCCTTAACTTGACACACTCTGGCGTATGTAACGCATCAAGACCTCTGCAATTGCTTCAAAGGTTGGTTTTTCCCATCAGACACCCAACAAAACACCAGTGTTACTGCATTAACAAAAATCACCATTCATAAAACTGCAAATGACTACTTGTTTTGATGTTTATATGCTTGTCTGCCACTAGGTGACACTCTTTTAGCAATCAGAGCTCCTTCAGGAACACAGCTGGAGGTTCCTGTGCCTGAATCTGTAAGTCCTGCTTGTATGTACATTAAAAAGTCACGTGGAAAGCTTAAATACTTATATAAAAAATATGTACACTTCTTTATTATTGTAATTTTTTTTTTAGCATGTTAATGGACAAAAGAAGTACCAGATTCACCTGAAGAGCTCTGCGGGCCCCATCGAGGTCCTGCTGGTGAATAAGGACCCCTCTAGTTCTTCTCCAGTGGTGCTGCCCGTGCCTCCGCCTGACGACATGCTTCAGAGCCTGTCCACCCCAGCTTCAACTACCTCTGCTGCTGCTGCACCCACCAAACCGGCAGCCAACAGTACGCCATCCTCCACCTCCACCTGCCAGAGTCCCAGCACCGCCACCACTGCCGCCGCCGTCCCTCCCAACACAACCACTGCCTCTGCTGTTGGGGCAGCTACAGGTTGGATGCTGCCCATATTTGAATGAATTATTGTGTCTGAAAATGCTCTGTTTGTTGTCTTATTGTACTATGATTTACACCATGGCAAAGTTGGTAATGTAATGAAGGATTATATATTGTTATCATTATATATATTATTACCAATTATATATTTTAAGGTCTCTTATGTTCACCAAGGCTGCATTTATTTAATCAAAAATTTTGTAAAACGTTACAGATAAAAATAATTGTCTTCTGTTTGAATAATATTTCAAAATGTAATTTATTCCTTTGACGCAAAGCTGAATTTTTTGCATCATTACTTCAGTCATCAGTGTCACATGATCTTCAGAAATCATTTTAATATCCTGCTGATTTACTGCTCAAGAAACATTTATCAATGTTGAAAACAGTTGTGCGGCTTAATGTTTTTGTGGAAATGGTGATACACAAGTTATGTAACATATTTTAAGAAAATCTTATTTTTTATACGCACACAATAAATTGATCAAAGATGTTTCTGTTACATAAGATTTCTATTTCAAATAAATGCCGTTCTTATGAATGTTTACTGATCAGAAAGTCCTGAAAGAAAAAACTTTTTCCAACATTAATGATAATAAGAACCATTCCCAATAATTAAGCACTGATGATAACTGAGCAGCAAATCAGAATATTAGAATGATTTCTGAAGGATCAAGTGACACTAAGAACTGGCATAATTCAGTTTTACCTTCACAGGAATAAATCACATTTAAAAATATATTCAAATTACAAATGACAATATTGTACAATTTTACAATATTACGGTTTTGACTGTATTTAAAATAAATAAATAAATGCAGCCTTTGTTGTTGAACAGAAGAGACTTCTTTCAAAAACATTTAAAAAAAAATTGTAATTAGTAAATTTAGTAATTACATGACATGTATTATTATCATTATGTAACTATAGAATTATATAAAATGAAATTTATAATTTCTCACACTGTATTACTGTTGTTGTTGTTATTAGACATTTCAAGCACCTCCACTTCAGATACAACAGCCAATCCGACATCAACAGACACGCAGCAGCTTCAGTCTTCTGCGTCATTGGACAGCAGCTCTTCACTTCCTGATTCCTCAACCCTTTTTGAACCAGTCAAAACAGACCCTTCAGAACGTAAGTGCCTATGATTTTGAAAATGAGCATGATTCTGTCATTAATCTTTATTTAAAGAAGTTTCCGGTCTGAAATGTTGGGTGTCGAGTGTGGCTTGGGACAATACCATAGAAGTGATAAATTAACATTCCTTTCTCTTTGTTTTCTCAGTGCTGGATCTCCCCAAAGAACTTTCAGAAATGTTTGACCCTAAAGGTGAGGTCAAACATGTTTAACATATGCTGCTCCTTCCTGATGCTTATCTATTGCTGATGTGCTTGACTCGACCAGAGAATCTGTGATTTTTATATAGCACACAGAAGAATTGTTTTCATATTTGTCATATTTCCTTCTTTCTCCATACAGAAATTATGAGTACAGATTTGCTCGAGGAGCTGATGTCATCAGAAGGTAAAGGCGATCATGAGTCAGGCCACCTGTGTATAGTCTTACTAAACATGAAATGGAAGTTTGGATGTATTTATGTATGTGTTTTATGTGTATAACAAATCCACTGTTTATGTATTATATGATGTTTATAAAATCAATAAAAGTAATTCAAATTTGACCATAAACTGAAATTTGATCCATTTTAGATGCTAAATGCTCAAACGAGTGACAGTTTCATATGGTTGCACAAACATGGCCACGGTATCACTCCTCTTCTCTCTTTCTCTTTCATAGTTTTCTCTCCGCTCCTCCGTCTATCCCCTCCACCGGGTGACCATGACTACATCTATAACCTGGATGAGACGGAGGGCCTTTGTGACCTCTTTGACGTTCCCATTGCCAACCTTTGACCTCCAAATACACCGTACAATGAGAGTAGTGTACTTAAAAGAGCTTTCTTTTTTCATGTACCCTTTTGAAAGGAGAAAAAAAAGAAAGTGTGGCTCTGTGTCAGATCCACATGTATGATAAGCTGATTCTGTGTGTATATAAAGCTTTTATATACGTGTATATTTACTCCAACCCCAAAGCGGCTGACTGAAAATATACGTCCCCTGCTAAATTCAACTGATCCAATAACGACATCAGACATCCATACAAACCATTTTTGTTAATTAGTTCCAAATGAATTGTTTTTATACTACTTTTGTATAGACATGGAGGGAATTTCATGACTAAATTCACCAGCAGAGGTTAATGGTTCAATGAAATTACCAGCTAGATGTTTCTTTTTAAATGGTCTTCCTCTTCTAAAGTAGCACCTTTTCCTCCCTATCGTTCAGTGTATTTACTGATTTACTTTATTACTGATCTGGACACACTATTATACAGATTGTTAATGAAACCGTGTATTACTTGTGTGGTTATGCTTTTTAAGAAAGCATGCCTCTGCATACATTTTGAAGCGATTCTGCCAGTAGGAAGAAGTTTGTTCTCATCTTGCAGCTCTCGGAAACACTGTGTGGAAGTAGTTAAGTTAGACTAATGACGTAGTGGGGAAGATGGGATAGCAGAATAGCGTGTATTGTGTGGAATTACAATTTACAGAATACAGTTTGGTGCTACATTGCGAAATCTATTTGTCATAGCGTCAATTCTCAGAAAAATTGAAGGAAAGTACTTAAAAGTGTTGGATGAACCATTCCTGATTTTGTCTTTTTCAGCTGTGCTTTAAAACTATGTGTCTCGCTCACAAAAAATGACGAAAGCTCATTTTCATCAGAATAAAAAATAAAAAGTTAATTGCAACTTTTTTTAATTAAACTTTTTTTCTCAGCTATTCGAAGAAGAAAAACTTATATGGAATGGCAACGGCAAGAAAAAAAATCAGAATTGTGTGGAAGAAGTTGTAATTATCTTTTTATTCTGTTTGAAACTAAAAAAAACTCGTAGAATTCAGAGAAAAAAGTTTGAATTGCTCAGAATTACGGGAAAGTCAGAATTCTGAGAATTTTTTTTTTCTATGAATTCCAAGAACTTGAAGTTTTTTTTTAATCTGTGGCCGGAGACTGGCTTTCATATAAATGGCTAGCTTGCAGTGTTTGAATATGAGTTTAACCTTGTTTAATGGAGTAACTGCTGTGGAAAGGTCACATAAGGTCCTGTACAAATGTTAAATTAGATGCCAGTTGCTATTTTTGTCTTTTAAAACATCGTCCCTCCCTATGATTTCAGTCCATAAAGTACATCTGTCCTTATCCCATTTATATATGTGTATAGATACTTTTGAAAATAAGTGACATCTTCATTATGTCTGTATATGAGAAACTGTCTAAAGAAGGATGTGTTTGGGGAGCGGGGGAAGTAAAGTCACAATATGACAAGAAATAGAGTATCAATGTACTGTGTATTGAGCACTGTCCAAACAGAATGTCATTATATGTGGGCTCCTGACTATGTCTGTACTGATGGTTGGCCCCAATAAAATAGTTTCTTGTTTTCCTACTGTTCCTAACAGCTAAATTATATTTTTATGCTTGTACACAGTAAGCATTTGCCATTTATTTTTGTACTCAACTGCTTCGGTTTTCTTTAGATAAATAGTCAGCTGTTTCTTTTGTCTAGCTTATCTCCACATTGCACTTTAAAACAGTTTATCACGCAGGTAACTTCCAGCCCTATGCATTGATTGGGTTGGCCGAGTCAGTTTTACAGTATCCAGGGAATTCAAGCAGTTTTCAAATCTTCACTGTCGTTGCAAAGTACCAGAATTGTTGTTCTTTACTGGAATTGTCATCCCCATGAAATAAAGAATGTTTTTGTATTTGTGATGCTCTTGAATATATCCATGTTTGATTTTAAGGCATTTGTTCCTACTTTGCTTCTTTTTAAAAAAAAAACCTAATTCCTTAGGAGTTTGTCATACTGCATCGAGGTGCTTGAGTCATATCCTGCAGATCCAGGCATTTCTGTTCAAGTTTCACTTGAATAGGTCTATTGTAGTGTAGTAGTTTAAAATTCGGGTTGGTAACATAGTTTGAGTGTTTAAACCCCTCAAGGATGAATCCAAAATATTACTATTCTGCTTTAAGGCACTAACCTTGGGTTTTTAGTTGGTAACTTAAATGTAAATCAATAACATTGTTTAGCTATTATATAAGGAAGTCAAAGAGTTATTTTATCTTTTTGTAATCAGTCACACCAACATAAATTGCATGAATTATAGCAGCATTGTTTGGTTGTTTGTGTCAGGATAATTCTTTATATACATCAACAAATCTACGGTTATACTTAAATATCACAAACACTTAGTGTTTTCTTTTACATTTTAAGGTACTATTTTAATTTACTATTGAAGATACTATATTAATAATAGAATGTACTGGTGATGAAAAAACTGTCAAGCTGTATTATATAATTGTATTAATTAAATAGATTTTTAATTGTTTTCCAGAAATGGTCAACAAACCATTTAACATTATTTATTAAATGCTGTTGTTGTGTAGGATATTAATCCATGAAACACACTCATGCAAAAAAAGTTGCATAGCTTACAAACAAGGAAAAAAAATGAAATAGGTAAATAAAAATTAAACAGAAAAAAACGTACGTTAAGATATAATTGTTATACAGGACTCAGTATAACGCCAAAAAAGTATTTTTTATTAAATTGTATTTTCTTATTAATGTATTCTTCTTATTAGTATTTTTAAATACTCAATTTAAAGTAGAAACTCTGCAGATCTAGGTTGTTAATGAATAATGAAGTGGTAATAAAATATGTAAATGAGCAGATTCAGATATTTCCCATATATGTGTTCATGGACAATATAGTCTATAGGGAAATATCACGTCTAACTTGCACTGTAAACAGCTGCGTTGATTGTAAATGTAGCGTTTAGTTTTGTAGCGTTATGTTTACTGTAAAGTTTCGGGCCTCCCCTCTTGGTCCCTCCAAAGAAAAGAAAAAGATCCCATAAACTTGGCGAGTCGGGTCTCCGCTCCCTCCTCCAGGGGGCGGGAGGGACATTATTCAACCCGGAACTGTGAATGTGATCAATTAGAACTCTCCGAAAACTTGGAACGAAGTGTAACAGCCGATCGTGCGAAAAGAATCAAATCACTGTCGCCGTTTCGCGCGAGCCAAGCGCAGATGTTTATCCGCTCCGCTGCTCCGAGATCTCGCAGAGAGTGATTTTTCCTGCTCTCCAACAGGTAAGACGAAAGAAAAGAACTTTTGTTCGGAACACTTTTAGGCTGCTACTTCTCTCGAACGCTAAACGAGTCCAAACCGATTTAAACGTGTAAATATTTACATACACCTATTCGTTTAGCATTGGAAACTCATTGGACTATTGTTATGAATAGAACAACGAAGTTTTCAGGCAAGTTTGTTTCTGTTGGTATTTTGAAGCCTCTAAAACACAGCGTTCCATATCGTTTAAATCTAAATGCTCTGTCGGGTTTACATGCAAATAGCTTTTAATTGAATAAACGGGTTCCCTATAAATCTTTTGTACTTTATATCAATTATTAGTGCATAGCCACGCTCATGAAATATTCAAACATGTGACTAATAGTCTTTGTAGCCGTTTTGGATTTGCCAAAGGAGGATTTGATGGAGAAATCCAATGAGACTTTGCAGGAAAAGTGTGTGATGTCTGCTTTGGAGGTTGTTGCTCTGTCAGTCTGTCTGTCAGAGCAGAGGGTGGCACGGATGAAATTCCAGGCAGCCTGATTTCTTCCATTCCCTCCCACTGGAGATCAGACTCTCAGACATGCACAGGGTTCAAAGGGCAAGAATCAGTCGGGAATGCTGTCAGTGGACCCTGAAGTAGTCGGTGTATCTCGTTTTGACGGTTTCGTTCTTGTTGTAGCCATTTCTCAACCCCAAAAAAATCGAGTGGCAGAAGGGTAGTGCTGTCCCAACTTCTCTCTGAGCGTGCTGAGGCATGCTGGGAATGGATTCTGGGAAACACAAACATTCAGTCTGTGTCAGCAACTCTTACCAAAAGCCTTAGACGGAAGGCCGTGTCTTACAAGTAATTTAATCCGCTTGAAAAAGCTCATTAATATGAGGAGGTTTTCAATCATGTGGTTTAGATTAGTTCACTTTCTGCGAATAATCTCTATAAAGCCCAGAGATGTGATAGAAGTTTTAGCTGAAATCTTTGTTTTGGGCCCATTAGTGTATTTTATTGTCCCAAGTTCACTCAAAAACAGCTTTCCCTCTTCCATTGGGAAGTCTTCTGAGGACACATATGGAAGTACTTGAGTCAGTTTAACAATTCGGCAGAGGCTCCTTAATAAAGCAGCCGTGTGCTTGTGCGTATAGTTTCAGCCTCAGATGGCACACTCGTGGGCCGCCACAATCTGTTCACTGACTGTCTGAAGCGCATTGCATGCAAAAGTAAGAAAAGATGACTGAAATCACACGTTTCTTTCTGATTGGCTGGCTTTAAAGGAGTATTTCTCCATAAAATGAACATTCTGTTATCATTTACTCTCCCTCGTGTTGTTCCAAACGTGTGACTTTTTTTTGTTTTTTTTCAAGCACAAAAGATTTTTTGGGAAATATCTCAATGTTGTTTGTACATACAATGAAAGTCATAGGGCCCGCTGTTGTTTTGAACCCCCTTGTCTTGTACTATAAATAGTTAAATATAAAGAAAATACATATTCAATACATAGTCTTGTATATAAATACAAGAAAATGCATAAGTATCTGCTTGTGTGTTCCACAGAAAAAAGGAAGTCATGCAGGTTTGGAATGACATGATTACTGAATTTTCGTTTTTGTCTACTATGAACTTTTGAGGAAGAAGAATTTGTAAGGTTATTATTGACGTCAAATGCTTGAACGATAATGAGAGTTTTGTTTAACACTTAGCGGCAAGTTTGATATTCATGAACATCACTGCATTTCCTGTATGGTTTTTTTCATACTTAAAATAAAACTGTATTTTTTTGTGATCAGTATAGAAGATAGAAATTCATACAGGTTTGGAATGACATGAGGGTAAATAATGACAGAATTGTCATTTATCACTTTTTATCACTTTAACATTCTTTTTCACTTTTCACTGTTGGACGGGGTGTAAAATAAACTGTGGTTGGTCTAGACTTAGACTAGTCTTAAAGGGATACTTCACCCAAAAATGAAAATTCTGTCATTATTTACTCACCTTCAAGTTATTCCAAACCTGAATGAATTAGTTTCTTCTGCTGAGCACAAAAGAAGATACTTTGAAGAATGTGGTTAACTGAACAGTTGATGGCCCCCATTGACTTCCATAGAATGGAAAAAATACTATGGAAGTCAAAGGAGACCAGCAACGCTTTGTGTAAACGATGACAGATTTTTGAGTGAACTATCCCTTTAAGGCTGATAGTCACAAGTGTAGGAGGCAAGTGAAAAACGAGAGCACTTGCTACACCATTAATCCCAGCATGCTGACGTATTGTAACATATAGCACAACCTGAGAGAGACACAAGTTCTCTTTTAAAAGAGGAAGACGGTAAACACAGAACGCACAGTCAATCTGGAAATAGAATTAATGACACGCATAACATCCTAGCTCTTGTCCACACTCTTCACCTCAGTGCCATTTTTGTATGTTTTGAAATATGTCAATATTTGTGTTTGGTTGGCACATTTCATACACTTTGAAATGAAAGGTATGTAACATTAAACCGAGCACTCATTCTTTGAATACTTGTAGGCTGATTTTAGTATTTATTTCCTGATTTTTCCCCCCACTCTCTTTTAAGGTTGTAGATATTAATTTCTCAACATGCCACAACAAAAGGATATAGTAAAGATTGCCATTCAGATGCCGGGCGCATACCCGCAGCTCATTCAGCTAGACCAGGTGAGCCGTTGTGTACTTCCTGTCATAAAGAGGATGTTGACCAGTGTGTATGCAACAGAGCGAAACTTGTTGGTAATCAGCATTTGAAGAATATAAACACTGTTTATTCAGTATCATACTGAAGTTCACAGATACATTTCATAAAGACGAAGGGATTTATGCAAATTAGGAAGTTATATCTGAATACTGTAGGTTTGAGTTTTGAGAAACCGTGATTATGCATTCTTGCTTACAAGTGCAAAATATGTAGAAAGCATAAATAGTAAGTTTACGTTTTGTAATCACATTTACTGCGAAATTAAAACCAGAGATGATATATTTATTTACAAGAACAATCTAGTGATCATTTCATTTGATTTTCTGTGTTGTATCAGAATTATAACAATATTCTCACTTGTTACTCCCTTAACAACCTGTTCTCAGTAATGAATACTAAATTAAATTATATACTAAACATAGATATTCTAAAGAAATATAAACATGTATCTTTTAAAAAGCATTACTATATTCTGAAGGAAGCTTATATTTAGGCTATAAATAAAGTAATTTCTGAAATAAAATAAATGTAATAGATAGTAATATGTGATATAATGTATTTTTGTAGTTTTTATTTGGACTGAAATGTCTTTAACTCCAGGACTCGATTTTTAATGAAGTGAGACCAGATTTAGTTTTAGATTTTTAGTTTTTCAGACAAATTTTAAAAACCTTTTATAATTAAAAAAAAATTCTTCTTCTTTTTTTATATATATATTTGGCGTTTTCGCCTTTATTATGATAGGACAGATTAGAACTGACAGGAAGCAAAGTGGGAGAGAGAGGGGGGCGGGATCGAGAAAGGTCCTCAAATTGGGATTTGAACTCGGGACGCGCGTAGCGCAGCGGCGCTGTATGTCAGTGCATTGCCCACAAGGCTATCACTGACTATTTAATTTTTATTTCTTGTTTATTATAGTTTATTTATTCACTCTTTCTATTTTTCTCATGTTTCTTGCATAAATATAGCTGTGTAATTTTTATTTGCATGTTTTTTTTTTTAACTGGTCTGTCAATTTTGTCAGCTCAGTCACACAAATTTTAAGACCGTTAATCAAAATTTTTTGTAATTAAAATTTTGTCTGTATGATCAAATAATTCTTACAAATCATCACCAATTATTTAATTCTCCGTTGTTTTGAAAGCACTCATATGGGTGTCTACTCACTTGAAACAATAGGGTGGACAAATGCTGAGCGTATTCGCTATCTTCAGAGGCTTTGATCCTATTGTTTGGGACGTCCTACTCCTAACAGAATGTGTTATTGTCTTAAAGACCTGCCATTGTTAGAGAAGCTCTCCTTTGGGTTTTCAAAACCATGAGATAACTGGGCTGAAATATGAATGAACCTGTCTGGTACTTAAGGATTAGTTAGAAAGAACCTCAAACCCCCGATGACCTTCCCTTCTGTACTTCCTCACCATCCCAAATGCTTCCACTCGCTGCCAGCCTCTGCACCACAAATTATAGGCCACTGATTGGTCTACCGCGGAACACCAAAATTTCTGATTGGTGAGCCGCAGGAGCTGCCACAAATTATGAGATATTTCAGATGTTGACTTGGGAGAACTTTTCCCTTCCTGTTTTGTCACTTGTTTTGTTTTGGTTTAAATGCTTTAAGATGAATGAGTGAGCGTACACATCTTAATCATTATTTTGTAACGTTTAATTTGAATGAATAATTGAGTTAATATGAAATATATTAATAATACATAAATATTAATAGGTTTTGTGGAGCCACGCCACACATGACATTTTACACCTTGAATTAAGAGTTGTAAGAAACTTATTGACCCACACATCATCGGCCCAATGTATTTTCCTGTTTTATGTAATTTGTATAATGTAATAAATAGTGAAATGGTTTTGTTAAAATATGAGTTTTCACTATGGGAAATAATAATAAAATAATATGCTAAAACAACTTAATAGGATTTTGTTTTCAAGAATTTAATCTTCTTAATATGGCTTTTTTTTGTATATACTGTTATAGTATTTATTAATATTTTGAATTAGCTTTTATTTTTATCATTTCGGTTTTCATTTCAATTTTAGTTAAAGGGGTCATATGATGCGATTTCAAGTTTTCCTTTCTCTTTGGAGTGTTACAAGCTGATTGTGCATAGATAAGATCCCTGAAGTTGCAAAGACTAAAGTCTCAAAACCAAAGAGATATTCTTTATCAAAGTTAAGACTCTGCCACGCCCCCCTAAAACGGCTCGTTCTAACACGCCCCCACATATCTACCTCACTATGTGGAAATATTTGCATCTTGCCGCCCAAATGTTCACGCAAAGAAAGAAGGCGTGGTTTCAGTAACAGCAGTTAGTGTTGAAGCAGCCATGTCAGGGAGACGCTGTGTGTTTCTAGGCGAAAGCAAAAGCACTTTATTTGGCCTTCCGAAAGTAGATGCATTTAGGAATCTTTAAGATTACTTACAACAGAACAGCAATGCATTTTATGGACGACCGTTTCGTGAACCTAGGAGAGGAGGTAATTCTGACTTTGCTATGACAATCTGGCGCTTCTGAATCAGCTACTGTTTTGTTATTAGTTTAAGTATTTGCTATTGACTCTTCAAATGCGGAGTTTTGCACATCGTGTGTGTGTGTGTGTTTGTGTACTGGTTTATATATCCTGGTGGGGACTTAAACCTGACTACACACAGACTGGGGACCTAAATTGTGGTCCCCACGGGTACAAAAGCTTATAAATCATACAGAATTACGTTTTTTGAGAATCTAAAAATGCAGAAAGTTTTCTGTGAGGGGTAGGTTTAGGGGTAGGGTTGGTGTGGGGCAATAGAATATACGGTCTGTACAGTATAAAAACCATTACGCCTATGGGATGTCCCCACTTTTCACAAAAACAAACCTGTGTGTGTGTGTG